ATCTGATAGTACCCACTGCGCAGATCGAGCACAGTAAACCATTTGCTTCCCGACAGTGAATCGAGGGCTTCATCAATGCAGGGAGTAGTGTATTGGTCTGGCACTGTTCTGCTGTTGAGAAGCCTGTAGTCTATGCACATCCGGATTGTGACACTTAGCCGCATAATGTCCTTGTTCACCACAACGATAGCAGAACTGTTCGTCGAGTGGCTGTCGGTTTCTGTTGGGAGTGCTTGTCTTTGGTGAAACATCAACTTTTTTTACTCTAGCTGGCTTTTCAGACAGTTCAGGAGCATCATCTTTTTGTTCCACTTTATGCTGAAGCCGTTTGACTTGTTTCTTTAAAGCAGCAAGCTCATAAGTATCACTGTGTTCACTTGACTGGGTTGTGGATACCGGTGATGCACTACGCCGTGTCTCTTTAGCTGCAGGGGATAAGCTCATACAGGCTAGTTTGGTCTTGAGCTCTTTTACTTCATCTTTCAAACTCTGTAATTCCGCATGGCTTTCAGCTCCAACATGTTTTGTCCGTACTGGCTGTACTGAAGATCTTAGTCTTCGTCTTGACGCCTCATACTCTTCCTCAGTGCGAATTTCACTTAATAGCTGGAGGAATGTGGGAGGTGAGGACTTTCTTTCACGGAGACGCAACTGAATAAGCATAAGATCAGAAGCGGTGGCCCCTCGTAACAGCTGTTCCAAACGAGCTGTGTCTTTGCTACTAGTTGGGAACCCTCCTCTCTGGACAACTTTTATGAGGGCTCTCTCCAAGCGCCTCAGAAAATCCGACAGCTTTTCACCGGGTAACTGTTGCATTAACCGAAAGGAAAAGTAGAGGTCATCTCCAGACTCTGCACTTCCAAACGCGCCTTCCAATGCATTCAGATACTCTGAGGGACATGCTTCAGGATCTGAATCTCTGACTGATTTTGCAATTTCTAGTGCGGGCCCCTTTAAACTTTCGATTAGTCTGCGCTTTTTTTCTCTGTCCGAACATTCACTTTCTTCCACCATGAGCCATGCCTGTTCAAGCCAGTGGTCAAATGCCTCTTCACTGGGGGGTATTGGCAGATTTCCAGAGAACAATCGTAAACGCCGATAGCCACCTTCAGTTGTCGGTTTACAGGTTTTCTCCAACAGATCACCAACTGCAAGCAGAATGGACTCAGTGGGGTTGGCTGGGGACTCGGGGTAAGTTGACTGAGGCGCAGCATTAGGAAGAAGACCTTTAATATCCTCCAAGGTCTTGCCTTCCGCAGCTAACAGAGTTTGTAGCTTAACACGGAAGTCATCAAGTGGGGCAGCATCGCCAACCGTGATTATTTGCCAACTCAATTCACTTTCCATGTTAACCACTTCTTTGGGCACATCTCCTTGTGAAAATTTCTCTCTGCATTCACATAGAACAGTGAGGGAACTCAAAGCAGTGTTGAAAATGCGGCCTCTGACCCGGACGCGTCCAAAACATTTTATGGTGCCCACAGTTTCTTCAATTGTGGCTATATCCACATCTTCTGGGACCACTACCAATAACGCTTTTTCTTCCTCCAGTCCTTCACCGCGACACCACCTCTTCAGCTCTGCAACATGGTTAGTGCGGTCTGCCATGGTTTTATGAGCCAAAAGAACCAGAAAATGTAAATTCTGTAACTTTGTGGAAACTTTAGAAACTTACGTATTGCCCCTTTAATTCCTCTAGATGGACCCAAAATATCCCAGCGGTGCCTCCATTTTATGTAGCCCTTGTTTGCTCATTATTTACTTGAGTGGGCTAGGGGTTCCTTAATGTGTGTACTCTCGTACTAAATAGTCTGACTCTAGAGCTATTTATACTATTTTGGGTCGCAGGGCTATACTTTTACTCGCACAAAGATATTCCAAACAGATACAAATACCTGAATTAACTTAACACCAGACACGAGGTAAGTATAAAAAAATCCCCTCCCTTTAATTACAAAAGAAAATAATAAAGCTCAAAATCCAGTTAAATGCACATTTCAAGGGACTGTAACATCAACAATGCTCACAGACACAATGAATACATTACAATTTAACTAAAGCCGGCATCTATATACACCCTACGGTGCAGGCCTGTATCGATGCTTGGGTGCGGTGAGACCAAAAACTGATGGTCGCTTCACTCACTGAGCAAAATAAACAAAAAGAAAGAAGGTACCTTGTGTACAGCGTTTATTCAACCGATACTTGTAGTTCAGCTCCGGGTCTTTCCTCGCGTTGTCCTCTCAGTGCTCAGCGGGCTCCGGGCAGTGGTGTGGCGTCAATGGCGGTGCAGGTGCGCGGTCCCACCCGGTCCAATACGTCTCGTCCCGCCGCTGTTTCCCACGTAGCCAGAGGTACTCTGAGCGTCGCGGGCACTCAGAGTGCTATCTGGGATCCGTCTGTCTCGTTGTCCAGTTCGGTAACGATCCACCGTCAGCTTCTGCGGTTTCGCGGGGTAGGCGAACCGTAGCCTCAGTCTTTGATATGAGGTTGTTTCTTTACAATCTCAATAAGCAAGTAATAAGCGATGAAAACACAGTCCATAAGCTCCGAGTTGAAACTACTGAGTTTTTATCGCACTTCACTCTCCCGATGGCTTCTTTTCTTTTTTTAAAAACACCACGGTACAAAAAAAACTTTCTCTTAAAACACGACGTTAGCTCACACTGTCCTCCGAGCATCTCTCGAACTTTCTCCCTCTCTCTCTCACACAACGTTGCGTCACCTTCACTGACCATCCAAGAATCAGAAGAAACAGCACTTTTACACATGTACAAAATAGTAAATAAAATAAATATGAATTATGCATTTTAACACTTGTAAATATGTTTAATCATTTTTTAATGAACAATCTATGCTAATGAATTATCAAAAACAATGAATTCTCTTTAACCTTTTTATAACTTAACTATGTTACCACTTTTATTCACTTTTAACACTGCGATTATTATCCGGGTTACATCTGTCTCTGATCTAGTCTCCTACTTTGGGTCCGCACTGGCGCCTCATAAATTTCTCCATGCGTCATTCTCTTTACTTCGGGTCGTAATACTTTCATTCCTGAACGTGCGTCCGGTGGAGGGACATTAGTTTACGTCCGCTTGGCCAAGACTTAAATAGAGAATTAGGATTCTTTTTTTCAAAATAAAGGATGATTTAAACTTGAATAATAAATACTGAAATTAATTATTATTTACTTGGCGGCCTGGTTCAAATGTTCCTCAGCCCGGTACTGGTCCACGAAACAGGGGTTGGGGACCACTGCTCAAGAGTTATACCGTACAAATAACGGTATTCAAAGGTGTCTCAGGCCTTTGCTGCAGTGGTGCTGTTCTGGGGTCAGTGCAGGCACATCACGTTTAGGTGCAGGATGTGATCCTAGCCCTGGGCCGTTGGGCACAATCTACTGACCCGCCCAGTCTCCAGGCCACTTAGGTTTTTACAAACGAACTAGGCCAAGTGGCCCGGATCGTCGCCACAGGGGTGTGAAGACTGCCCGCGGTCACAAGGGTTTATTCTCTCAAGCGTGCCAGACCAAATGCGCTGCAGTACAACGCTCGGTCCAGCTGGTGGCGCAAATACTAACTTCAGCGACAACCTCGTTGTCCGAATTAAGTTTCCGTTTCTCTTCCTGTTTCTCTTCTCTTTACACTCTGCTACTGTGCGCTAACAGCTCTAGTACGGATTGCGTTGTTTAGGGAAAGACTCATCTCACACCTTTTCACATTGCTCTGAAGCAAAGTGCAGCAGTTCAGTGGTAAAATGACCCACTTTATGCAGCCTCAGTAAAATGGTACAAGTTTCGTTGTTAATTACAGTCTTTTGTCCTTCAAAATCAAGTTTTTTGACTTCTCAACCTTGAGGAGGGAAAACCGTGCACTCTGAGTTGCACACCATTGCACATCTGCTTTTTGAGCAGCGAAGACATTCATGACTAATTTTAAAACCACCCAAATGACTGCACCGGGCTCTAAGCAACCTGTTGATTGTTTTTGGTCTGTTAATTTGCTGTAAATGGAAACTTAAATCTGTGTCTTCTTAGAATATTTAAGTTGTGCCTTTGGACTCTAGTCTGTGTTCTTATGGTTTTAATGAAGTTACTAAATGTATTAATACACTTTTTGCAAGTGTTTGCTTGTCTGGCTCATGCTGCTTTCTCTGCTTTCTTAGTGGGCATGAAGCCCATTGTTTAAATCATTCAGAGTAAATTCTGTGTAGATAAAAAATTGTTCTCGGCGTCTCTAGAGCAATTTCTCCATTGGATAAATAGTTTCTGTATTACTGCAAAATATCAATGCAGCATATTTAATATGCCGCCACATTTGTTTTGGTGGCAATCCTAAAAGAGACATTATGCAAAATTGAGCTATTAATGCATGTTCCATCATAAAAAAACAGACCTCGGCTTGTTCTTAGATCCATCCATGTTACTGCAGACTCGAACAGACAAAACATAGTAATAGAATTGTATGTTGGTTGGCAGGTGATCTGACACTACATGATTTACATACTGTATATCACACTGGGACAGTATTTTCAAGATTACATTTATTATGCTGTACAGAATGGTTAGGATTTGGCGCTTAGACCCTGGCACTGCACGATTGCAGAAGGGGAAAGAGATTAGGAGATGAAATCCTCCGGGGCCTAGACCCTGGTGGTAGTTGCAAGGAGAAGGATGAAGGAGCTAGCCCACTTTGCCCGAAGCCCCCGCTGAAAGATCTCAGCTCCTGTGGACTCCCCACCTGCTGGAGGATCAGTGAGGGGCTGGTGCTCTGTGAACTGGGTGCAGCTCTGACAGCCACCCCCTCGACCCAGAAATGGATTAAGAGGAAGAAAATGGATGGATGGACTTGTTTAACTATATTTTCTACATACGGTATTATTTCACAGTCTAAAAAAGGAAATAGCAAATTGCATGGTAGTAAATAAACTATTATATGTCTTTGTTAACCCAAGTCTCTTTTGTGCAGGTTCCACATTGTGTCTTGTGGACGGCCATGTTGTGGATGAAGTGGAGGATGGTGCTGGGGTCTCTGTTTGGGTGGAGAAGGCGATGGCTCCTCTTGCTCTTCACTGCGGGAACATTAATCGTCATCTATCACCAGCAAGATCGCACGGTGCAGCAGCAAAGCCCAGGTACAGAAACGCCTTTATTCAATTCAACAATTAACTGCATTCTGTATTATTGGCTCTGGTGACTATTAAGTTTGAGCGTATTGGGTGGGAAATCATTTTTGATTTACAAAGTCCATTTGACATTTAACATACTAAACATATAACACATAGGCAAGGAAAGTGTATTTGTACTGCACAATTCATACACAAGGCAACTCAAAGTGCTGAATAAAACGAGATGGAGGCAGTCACTCAAGGTATCAAAATCATAAACAATCACAGTACATTAACAAGCACAAATACAACATCTCTCAGTTGTATACACAGCTAAACAGAACTGTTTTTAACCTGGATTTGAAGCCCGTCTCACATTTTCAGGAAGACTGTTCCAGATTTTAGCAGGCCAGTCCCTGTGCTCCTCTGAGTCCGAGTTAGTTTATATGGCTCTAACATGTCACTTATTAACTTAGAACACATGAAGGTGATGGCTGATGGTCCGAGGCTTCTTCCGAACCTGGTGGCCCTTTTGCACCTGAGTCTCTTGTACCAGAGGGGAGGGGGTGAGGTATTTTTGTAGTGGGGGAAGAGCAAAGCATCCTGTGCCGTGTCGTGGAGGTGTGTGAGGTGAGATGTGGGAAGTGCAATGATTTTAGCTGCAGTGTGTTTTATCCTGGTCAGTTGGGTCGTTTTTTAATTCTCTTTTATACGTGCATGCATGTTGAAAATGCAAGGGGGGTGAAGGGTTGAATGATAGATGTATATACAGTAGCAGATATCAGATGCTGTGATACATCCTAGTCTCAGGATTTATTGTTGTTAGCTTTATTGTAAGGTGTTCTGGTTGAATGATATATTAAAAACTGTCCACTATTTCCACTGCTTGTTTGCTGATGATGATTGACTGCTGAGGTGACGGAAAACTACAGAACTATGACTAAAAAAGGATGAGAAAGTTCTTGAACAACCTTCTGATTTTACTATTTTCATGCAACAGTGCTTTTTGTCACTGTCTTAAGTTATAAATTAACTCAAAAAGCACCTGTAGAGGGCAGACCTTCACTTATAGGCACAGTTTTGTTCCTTTAATTACAAATCACAATGATTTGGATCACCCGCAAAAGGTATTCAGTTGTACAAAACAATGTCATAGAATTACTTTTGCTATGTGTCTCACAAACAAACAAACAAACAGCGTTGATTACTTTAACTCCACCCAGGATTAATTAATTAAAGCAATTACCGGTGTTCAATCTGTTATTTTTACCAACCAAATACTTCCCACAATATAGAAACAAACAAAGTCAGAGGTTTACACACTGCAAAAAGGTAAATAATGCTCAAATTTTGCTGAATGTATCTTAATTTGAGCACATTCTGACTCCCTTTAAACAAGATTTGTCATTGGGACAAGCAAAACTATCTTGTTTTAAAAAATATAACACATGTCTCTGTTGGAATAAGAAAATAAACAGTAAATAGTTCTTGAAATAAGGCTGAATGGCTCTGTCCCATTGGCAGATCTTTTTTCAAGACAGTCAGAATGAACTCACATCAAGATAAATACCTTTCTTTTTTGCTGTGTATGTATTTCCGGCCCATTACTCCGGACAGAACAATGCCTTTTGATATCTGCCCACACATTCTCCGTGCAATTTAGATCAGGGCTTTGCCATGGCCAAAGACACTTTGTAACTATATGGTCCTTTGCTTGGAGTTGTTGTCCATTTGGAAGACCCAGTTCCACCCAAAATTTAGCTTATTTCCTGCTATCTTGAGATGTTTTATATACTTTATATAAAAAAGATTTTCTTTGTATTGTACAACAATTATCAAAGTGCTATTTCCACATACTGTTCTTCCTGATTCAATCTATTTAATGAAGTTCATTCTCCAAAACAGCCAACAAACCTTTCCGTTTGCCACCGTCATATAACAATATCACGTTGGTTTCGGCCAAACACTTGAAAAACCAACATATTTTTTCTCTCTGCATTTTATGTTGCATTTTAAGTAAAGATTTCTTCCTTGCAGAGCGGCCTTTCAGCCATATGTGTACATGACTTGTTTTACTTTGGATTATGAAAAAATGTTAGCAGCTTCATAAATTATGTTTAAGTTCTGTAACTTTTTTGGTGGAGTTGATTCACACATTTTGGACCAAAACATGTTCATCATGTGCAGAGCACACTGGACAGTACAGTACCTGGACATCCCATTAACAGAAAAAGGTTGATAGTGGCACCGTTTCAAGCATTTTGAAATGGTACCATGATACACAGAATTTGTGAAAGTTCCACCATTCTCTTACTGATGACTTGTTCATGATAATCATGACTGATATATTTAGATTTTCTCATGTTGTCAAACAAGAAAGCAGTGTTTGACCTCAAAATACATCTACAGTCAATGAACTCAAATATGTCAACAAACCCGAACATCCATTATTTGGCCTTTCACCGATTGTGTATATTAATAATATAATGATAATAATGCATACAACTTATCTCGCTTTTCATGACACCCAACAATTCTTTACATGGCATTATTTAGTCACGCCATACACTGTGTGGTAAACTCCTGTAGTCACAGCTGCCCTGGGGCGAACAGATGGAAACAAAGACACTAATTTGTGCCATCCCCCCTCCAGTCACCACCAATTCACTCACACACATACACGCACACACACGCACACACACACACGTGCATACACACACACACACACAGGCAATGTGGGTGCAGTGTTTTGCCTACTGTAAGAACACAGCCTCTGCCGCCCCACTGTGGCATTTGATGTTCCCATGTGTCGTCAGACCAAACTTTTTCAGAAATGTACTCTAGAAGAAGTTTGTGCCTTTATGGAGTATGTTGGAATCATGTGTCAACAGCAGTGTGGATGATTATGAATATCATAGCAGTGTAACACTCCAGTGAAATAAGAGCCACTTAGCCAGAGTGCAGCCTCTCCAAATACGTAATGCCCCTGATTGTTGAAAGCTTTCAGTCGTTGTGTGAGGTTGAAAAAGGCTATTTGCAATTGTATACACACACACACACACACACACACACACAGACACAGAAGAGGCTTTCTCCAATGATCTCCATTATTTATTACTTTGTTAACGTTTGTCTTATTGAAAGGAAAAGGCCTCACACATAATATCAGCCCATACATGGTCTGTAGTACTATAGTCAAAAGAGCAACAAAAACCAAATGCCAAAATGACGAGCTGAAACAAACATTTATTTCAGAGAGAATATAATTATGATGATCTTGATATTTTGTCAAAATTATGAGATAAGATGCCTGTTACAGGCAGAAATGTATACTTTGTTGGTACGTTTTCCTTTGTACTTCGCAGTGGCGATACATACTGCAGCACAATGAGCTCGCCCATACCTTGCCTTAAGCCTGAAAGTGTCACAACAGAAGCTGGAGCCCATATCTAATAAAGCTTGCGCATAATACAGACTGTCGCAGACTTTCCTTGTTCACTCCTTATGTGTGAATAATGTCAACATTCCCAGTTAAACTGAGAAAACCTTCTCATTGGTTGCTCTTAGAGGACAACCTCAGAAACAGCAGCTGCTGTGAGACAGGAGCAGATGCCTTAAGTGCTAACGACAGAGATAAATCGCAAACACTGAGCACTTTGCTGAGTGGTACAGTGGACAGAGCCGCAAATGTTGCCCTTGTTTATCTTTGCCATGTGTGCATGATAACCATGAAAATCATAAAGTCACATTTTAAACACATTTTTTCCCCTTTGAATGGCAACCCTTGAACTGGGGTTTTGTACAACAGTAATGATGAGGTCATGTACTGCTTCGTTGCTCAGTGTTTCCGGCTGCTCTCCAGGAGCTGTGCATATTACTGTGCTGCTCAAAGGTAAAATTTGATCGCTCTGTCAGAGGTCCGGTAATCTCTTAAGCCCTGTCTGTTTGCTCAGTCTAATTTAGCCGTCTCTTAATATAATTAAACTGTGCTTGTGACCTTAACCCATGGCCCGTATTTCAATGTAAATCCTCGGTTTGTAGAAAATAAAAAGATACAATCAAATTATTTACCCAGTGTAAAGTTTTTCAAAGCCTATTGTGTAATCTAGCAACACTCATCTGAAAATAGTACTTTCCTCTTCACCTGCAGTTTTTATATCATATTTGATTATGTAAATGCATTTAGAGAAATGTTTCAATATTTGGTTTGCAAAGAGAAACACACTTAGAGTACTACACAATTTCATGATTTTGTGCCAACAACATCCTGTTTGTCAAAGCCTCACCCCAACCAGACCCGTAAGGGAAAAAAAAAATGGTTTAAAACTTCAAACACAGGTGGGCACTGTAGTTCATGAGAAAACTGTAGTTGAGTCCTTGGGCAAGATAATGATAGTGGCTCTAGCAGTTCAGGGTTAGCCACCATGACCAACACCAGGACATGAGCTTCAAGCTGCTGTATTGATAATGGAGGTGGAGACTATAATATATTATCTAAAGTCAAAAGATAAAAGCAAACACAGTTGGTAATTCTTAGTGTTCCATGATTTTAAACACTGTCCCTGTGACAGACGAAGGGGTGAGGGTCCTGCAGAGCAGTGGAGCAGGAAAGAGCCGAGGCTTCCTGTGGTTTGGGGTCTACAGGTTGGCCTTTTCACAGAGCCGTGCTGAGTAGCATTGAAAACTCCAAAGAAAATAAATCACAACAGGCTTAAGCACCACATGAGGCAGATTTTTCTTCTGATTTTGAAAAATGTCTTTGAAGACAGTAATCACAGATGCTGCTTCATTGACGATCACTGTCCATGCAGAGCAAATAACACAGCCGGGCTCAAGTCAATTTTATGGTTGTGATCACAAAATACTCTGAGCTCTATTTGCATTAACTGAAGCCCTCATCTATGAGCTATGGTAGCTATAAAATAAAATGTGCGATAAACAATACAATTTCAAAAACAGTTTTCAATCCCACATCAGATCTTATTAGGCTTTATTTTCAAATAGTTGCTATTTTATAAGTGTCTTGCATCCACAGTGATCTTATATTTCATTACCCAGCCTTATGCAAAATAAAACAATCTTACACACATAATTGTGTGGATAAAAAAACATAATTTATTCATTGGGAAAATGTGCTTCAACAAATAAAAAGTACTGGTTTCACCAGAGCACATCTGTACGCTTTACGGTGAAAGGATGATAAGAGACTAAACATAGAAGCGCAGACTTCTATCAAGAGATGCAGTTCTATTCCACCACCAACATTGGCAACATCAGTTGTTCAGTTTCATGTCCAAATCATCCCATACCTTTTTGAGAAATGTTGTGCATGGACAAATAAACAAACACTTTAAACCATCTCATACACGTCACCCCTGAACTAACTATTTGACTGTTAGTTCCATGAAATAAAGACACCTCGTCAAAGCTCAGTCAGAAGGGGCACAAACCATTCTTTTCTATTCCTTTTTTGGCGAGCCATTGTGAGAAGAATACTGTGGAGCAGGTTTCCTCCTTGCAGACAGAAGCCTATGGTCTATTATCAAATAGAGCTTGAGCCTATTCCAGTCTGAAAGTGTGACTGTTGAATAGATATCATTGTGCACAGGAGTGGCTTCCATCTCTCTAATCCCTCTACAAAGTGCAGTACTCCTAAAGAAGATGAAAGAAGAGTGGCCCCTTCACTCTGTGCGTGCGTGCGTGTGTGTGTGTGTCCTGCGCAAACTGTGACCTGAGCGCGCCAGTCCTTTGCCCTCTCCTCTGTCAGAAAAGAACAAAAGATTAAGGCCTCCTGCTATAGCCCGTGATAACAAGCTGTCAACTTCCAAAATGTAATGCGCTGACTGTGGGAGGAAGTGTTGGTGTCAGTGGAGTGGGCCAGCTGATGCTATCACCAGAGCGCTGATGGAGAGTGTCTCGGCCCGGTTGGCAGATACACAAAAGCCCCCAGTGTCAGCTCGCAAAGAATCGGATGAGCTGGGGAAGCCGCTCACAGCAATTTCACAGCACATAGTCACATCTGAGCAGATAGGTGTGAACACAGGTAACTTCTACAAATTATGTTTTTCTGTCGAGTGATTCTAATGTATGACTATTGAGAGAACAAACTGTATCCGATATATATTATATTACTGTGAAATAATGTGATTATATCTCTTGCAGTGGTCTCAGTGGCGGATTTTCCTTTCCCTTGTCTTTGTGAGTCTTCCTAACGTCCCCTACACACTGGATGTGACCTTTGGAACATCACTGGCTTGGACATGGACCCATACGTCTGAGTGGTCACACAATGTTCCTTTCCAGCTGAACAGCATCACTCGTTCATTTAGCTATTTAAGAATTACATTTTTTTCAAAACTTTTGTAAAATTGCAGCGATATTACTGGGGTAGAATTAATCGTTGCTACAAAATGCAATTAAAAAGGAAAACAATATGCAATGAGTTTAAAGCCACACAAGTTAAATGCTGTAATATGTAAGTAATATATCAGGGGCCCAAAAATATAGTTTTTTCCCAAAAATTGCACTGCAATTTTTAGTTTGAGTATTAGAAAAATGATCACATTTCACCCTAAAACTCAAATTCACTTGCACATTGTGTACATAAATGAGGCACCTTAAGTAAACCATCTTGTTTATTATTATTACAAATTAAGATAATGTTTTTCAAATAAACATAAACATTCAAAAAAATATCCGTGGGAACTAGGAGATTTCATATTGTGTTTCAGTGGCAATGACAAAAAGACTGAAAAAGTCATGTATAAATTATGTGGATTTTGAAGTATGCAGATACATCAAACTCAAAAAAGTACGGGCGCCTCTTTAACGCTTGTGTGGTGCGGTTTGCCGAACGTGAAAGTAAGTAAGTAAGTAAGTAAGTTTTTATTTATATACCGCCTTTTCACTGCAGATCTGAGTCTCAAAGCGGTTTACAATTGTTAATTTTGGGCATTTGTCTCTCACTCCACACAGAGATGGGAGCGGGGTCGCCAGTACAGGAGGCACATGCCAGAACTATTGGACATATTTTTAGTGGTAGGGGAAACCGGAGTACCCGGAGGAAACCTACACAGACACGGGGAGAACATGCAAACTCCACTCAGAAAGGCCCTGGTCCGACCGGGATTAGAACCCATGACCTTCTTGCTGAGAGGCGAGAGTGCTATCCACTCAGCCACCGTGCCTTTCATCGCCGCTTGTAGCTATATTTCTTTTAATTATTCTCTCAACTCAACATGCTGAAAAATGACATGAATAAAAGCCAATGGCCTGGGGATAATACAACTTTAGCCCTGACAGTGTTGACAAGTTATGGGAGGCTCTCTTCTGTCGACCAGTCTGTCTGGTTGCACAAGTCCTAATGCACACTTGAGTGGACAGTGAGCCTGTTATGAGGAAGCTGTCATCTGGCCTATAGAGCCACTAAATCAATCAAGCTCGGACATAATGCTTCTTCTAACCGCAATATTGTCTCAGAGCTAATTGCCTGAACGCCTCATGGCAGTCCCGAGCCCATGTCAGTCCTCTGCCACCACTTTGTTTGGATCTAAAATTGCCTTTAGATTACCCAGAAGAGCTGCCAGATGGCTAATAGAGCATATACAGCCAGCTTTGATCCAATTAGCTATTGATAGAGCTGGAACTTACATTTAGACTATAGTACAATGCCTTTCGCTTCATGTCTGCAAGTTTTGGCCCAAAGCAATTACTTGGTTACCATTCTCATAATGTGACAAAGTGCATGACAGGTTACTTTGCCCTCTTTTAATTCCTTTATTTGGTGGAACAGAGCGATGATGGCAGCTTTTGACAAAATGTCTTGTAATGTAAGAAGACATCACAAACAACCACATTTGTCAATTTGGTTAACAGCAAAGTAAAGGGATTGAATAGTACCTGCAATTATTGATTAAGTAAGGTTTGATATAGATATATTTGTCTTTTGCACAGCCAAAGAACAAAAGAGAAATCATTTTGACCTCACACCACTTTTCCCTCCTTTGGAGTCACTGAGGGCCACTGATTGTGCCTGCTACAAAAATGGTATTTGGGGACAGTGGTTCGATAAACCAAGGCTGCAAAACAATGTGTGATGTATTTCACTGATGTTTGACTGTGATTCTTTTTGCAACTCGTTTCACATGACGCTCTTTCAAAATGATCATCTATTTTATTGATCATCCCAAAAAATAGGAATAGGTACTTATTCAACTTTATTTATTCAACTTTATTTATTCAACTTTATTTATTCAACTTTAAGTTTGTGTAAGCTCTCAGTCGTACAGGGATTAGTCAAAGCAAAGGAAGGTTTCTCACCCATCATCTGTACTTCTTAGCAAGTTTTCCCGACGTTTCGTCCTCAACCTGGGGACTTCTTCAGGGAATGAATTCTCGGACCGCGCGTTGCGAGAATTCATTCCCTGAAGAAGTCCCCAGGTTGAGGACGAAACGTCGGGAAAACTTGCTAAGAAGTACAGATGATGGGTGAGAAACCTTCCTTTGCTTATTCAACTTTATTTATTCAACTTATGTAAATACTACAGATATTAAGTCTCTTTGAGGAGCCACTCACAATAAAAAGTAATTCTCAAAAATGTCATAGAGTCGAATGTTATTTGATCCAAACTTGGCAAATGTGTCATGTTTTGTGCCAAATATTTAGTAAATTATAATAAAATAACACAGATTTAGGATTCAATGTGTATTTCAGAAAACCTCTATAAGCATTGTTCTTGTTTTCCCTAAGCATATTCCAAGGTTTATTCATTTACCTTTTATTTTAAATCTGTCAATATTTGTACCCATTGCACGCCTGCATGATCACTGGGATTGGATACTTTTCCTATTTTATTATTCACATCCAAAGCCACCTTACTTCACATTTGATAACAAAAGAGTTTCACAGGAGTAAGCAGTTGAAAGAAAACAGGCGAAACTGAAGAAAATACAAATACATTGCCCAGTCTGACTTCACTGGTTTAAAAGAATAAAACCAGTCAAATCAAGTACAAGCAAGGAAACCAAATCAGTTAAATCAAATACGTAAGATACAAAAAAACCACAAAGAACCACAAACTAATGGGATGTTGAAAGTCAGAGAATAGAATATTGTTATTCTCAGCGGGGGAATCTCAATGTCATCGTTGCTCACATTACGGCAGAATAAAAGAAAATAAGTGCACTCAGGTTACGCACATCAAACAGGATCTACAATTTAAGATAATAGATAATACAATCATGAGATAATAGAATAATAAAATAACAGAATAAAACTCTGGTGCTATATACAATAATTGCACTTGGTTCAAGGATCACTTTATAATGTACTTTAGCAGCAGTTTCCCATAAGATTTCTGATCGGTGTGTCAGTAATGTATGTCACCATGTTGACCGTAGATTGCACAACATTAGCGATAGTGAAACTTGTCCACTTCTTATCTCCACCGCAGCGCTCTCCAAAGCTAATGGCCTTCAACAACTGTATTGCTAAAGCTGTCAGTGCAGATAATGGAGGTATCAATAGAAACCTGCTTTCTCAGTCGATTACTTCTGTCAGCCCCTGCCCATGTCTATTATCAAACATCTTTCCACTTGAAACACCCATGTTCAGACATTTTATACGTACATTTTTCACATTATTTTTTTTTTTTACGTGGATGCTTGAGTAGCTAT